TTCTTTTCTTTTCCAAAAAGGATTTAAATAAATCCTTTTCCTTTAGACCAAAAATCCAATAATCTTAGAAATTCAATATCTTCCCAACCGTAAGTCCGTTTGACTCCGTTCAACTTCCAAAATTCCTCAAATCTCGAGATCCATTTAATGGCACGCTTAGAGGTCAATAATAGGACTTTATTTTTGCCGTTTGTTGAGTTGTTCCGTTTCGCGTGTAGTTTCGGAGCCCGAAGACCCGCAATGCGAGGATTCCGAGGATCAAGCTCAAGATCTCGAGCGAGGCAAGCCACCTTTGAACATCTTGAACCTATATTTGAACTTAATTATGTTGCTTGAAAAATATTATGCATTGATAGGATTGCACTAAATCTGCTTGTCCCGTCTGCAAGGCAGATTGGCGGACCTACCTAACTTGTTACATCTGACCCTTCCATTGTAATTGTTATATCATGTTCCCTTGTAACCACCTAGTTGCGCCTCGGTAATTGTGCACTCGGCACGAGTATCGACGGTCGCCTTCAAACTTAAAATCAGAGAAACATCTTGGGTAAAACTTGGGTTTTACAAAACACTTGGAAAACCTGACACCTGGGTCGGTGCTTGCGAACCTAAATGAATTTCCAAAATCGCGGACCGGGGAACGTACCGGGTGTATGGTTTCCCGCTCTTGCACTTAAGGACCGTTTCCTTGGAATTTCATCTGAACATAAGACAAGTACGACCACATGGGTGGAATGGGACACCCCTGGCTGAGTAATTAGCTAATCAGGGGAGCCTTGATGCTGAGAGACAAGTGGATTCGCCGGGGTGGTGTCGGGGAGGACCCCTGGGCTTCCTGGCACAGTATGGTCTGGGACCTAACCTGTTGTTGGTCTGGGACCCCTCTCATCAGCATATGGTGAACCTGTGTCGGCTTTCGAAATGCCTTGTCATGAAAGCCTTAAGGTCTCTAGTCGTGGCCGTTCTGCACGGGCTGGATGATCCGGGTTAGTAATGTCGTGTGGGTAAAGTGTACCCCCTCTGCAAAGGTTATTAAACTGTTCGAACAGCTGTGCCCACGGTCATGGGCGGATGTAAGGTGATTCCTAGCGTAGTTTTGTTTGACTACTGCTTTGTGAATTTACTGATGTGGTTTGGGATTGATGTTTGGAAAATCTGCGGCTGATGGGATCAGCCAGGCCCGGGTGGCCGTTTGAAAGCTGTTGGCCGGGTGCCAATCCTGATCAATTCAAAAGACTGATACATTGCACATACTCTGACCGGACGAGACGCACTGTCTCATCCGTGTCGTCTGAGAAGCACTCACTTAGTTGTTTCAGAAAAGAGTTTAAATAAAATCAATTGCAAAAACAACAGCCTTTCCTTGAAGCCTGCATTAAACACTTAATTCCCATGGCTTGCTGAGTACTCCCGTACTCACCCTTGCTCTATATAAATAATCCCCCCCCCAGTTGCTGAAGAAGATGAAGCGGATCCCGCTGACGAGGAGTTCTTCCAAGAGCAAGCCGGCTACGATGAGTTTTAGGGTTTCGGCCTAGTTCCCAAGTCACGCCTGTGATGTTTGGTCCAAGTCTTGGCTTCCGCTTCCCTTTTGAAATGCAGTTGTGAGCTCGGGATCTGTCCGCAGCCTAACATGACTATACTCCTACTCTATAATAAAGATACCTCTGTTGCTGTGATATTCTGTCTTCCTGTGATACCAGCGCTGTTTCCTGGGACTGGTATCGATTAACAGGTTAATTTGGAGCGTCACGGGCTAGTTCCGCTCGGGACTAGTTCGGGGCGTGACAGCTATCTCGCAAGCCGCGGCCGAATTACTTGTGTAAATCCTATTCATGCAATATTTGCGGAAAAGAAATACTTAGATTTAAATTATAGGTGCAAGATGATCAAAGGTGACTTGCCTTGCTCGAGATCTTTTGCTTGATCCTCGAAATCCTCGCACTGCGGGTCTTCGGGCTCCGAAACTACACGCGAAATGGGACTACTCAACAAACGGCAAAAATAAAGCCCTATTATTGACCTCTAAACGTGCCATTAAACAGATCTCGAGATTTGAGGAATTTTGGAAGTTGAACGGAGTCAAACGGACATACGATTGAGAAGATATTGAATTTCTAAGATTATTGGATTTTTGGTCTAAAGGAAAAATGATTTAATTAAACCCTTTTGAAAAAGAGAAAAGAGGGAGGGGAAACATACTTCCTTCGGGCGGCTAGGGCGCGGCTCGAGAGAAAGGGGCGGCTCGGCCGAGCTTAATGGGCCGGCCGGCCCGAGAAGGTGGCCCAAGGCACGCGCAGGAGAGGAGGAGAGAGGGAGCCGGTGGGCCAGGCTCACCTCGCGTGGTCCCGAGTAGGACCCGCTTGTCGGTGACACGGTTCACCGTGCGGAGGGAGCACGCGGTGCGTGCTAGGGTTTGGGGGAGGGACGCGGTGCACGCGCGCGGCTCGCGGTGGGTGCGGTTGTGGCGGGCCCACGCGCAGCCTCACGGCTTGCGGTGGACCGCGCGCGCGAGCGGGGCGGAGGGGAGCGGCGGACCAGGGTCAGCTTGACCCGGTCGCGGCCGAGGTGGCGCCGACGTGGCGCTTACGTGGCTGCCACGCGGGTCGGCGGGAGGAAGACGACGACGTCGGCCGGAACGGACGGCGGACGGCTGCGGCGAGCGGCGGGGTGATCTACAGCGATGCAGGCAAGGGTGAGCGCACCGGGAGGTTGCACGGGACGAGGGGAGACGAGCCAACGGCTCGGATTCGCCGAAGGGGGCTCGACGGCGGTGGATTGCGGCGGCGGCAACCGACGGCGAGGGAAGGGGGAAACGGCGACGGCGCGACGGCAGATCGATTCGGGCGAGCTAGAGCATCTAGGCGACTCCGGGAATCCGTTTCTAGCGTCGGATTGGACGGAGACAGTACGAGAAAGGCCGGCGACATGCGGGCGCTATAGAGCACGGGCGGCGACGGCGGCGAGCACACAGCGAGCGGTGGCAGCGGTCGGGGCGGCGCCAGCTAGCTACGGGGAGGCTATACAAGCTTCTACCGAAAACTAAGGGGAAGAGGAGGAACGAGGAGGGAGAACGGGGAGATGCCCTACCGAGACGAGGCGGGGCGCTATGACGAGAGGCCGACTGCACGGGAGTGATCTCTCCGGCCTCGGGCTGGGGAAGAGGAAGAAGACGAGCGCCCGGAGTCCCCTTCCGCGTCCTAGCACGCACCGGCTCCTCCGGCACACGCGACGGCGGCGGTCGGCGATAGAGAGACAGAGGGGACGGCAATGGCGCGGTGGAGCGAGGGAGAATGGGAGAGGGAAAGGAAGGGAGGGCGCCTTGGTTTAATAGGAGGGCAATGTCGGTTTGGAAACCGACCTAGGGCGGTCAAGGAGCGAGCTGGCGCTCGGCGGTCGCGGCCAAAACGGCGATTGGGAGGATGACGCCGGCGGGGAGAAAAAGGAAGAAAAGGAAGGGGGAAAGGAGACTTGCCTCTTGCCACTTTGGGAAAAGAAGGAAGGAGAGAGAGGGCGACGAGGCAGTGGGAGGAGCTCTGCCTCCAATCCTTGGGAGCATGCGCGGTGGTGGCGGGGCCGGGTCGTGACGACGGCGATGACGGCGGGGGCGGTTTGGAAGGGCGCAGCTACAGGGCGGCAAGCGCTGACGGCGGCGGCGACTGGCCGGTCGGCCACCACGGCGCGCTCCGCGCGGGAAGCAACGGCGCGGGGGATTCAAAACTCGGGGGCGGGGCTCGCCGGGGAGAGAGAGACGGGGAGTGGGAGAGCGAGAGAACGAGAAAGCGGAGAGAGAGAGATGGCGCTCGGCTTGGCGTCGGCTCACGCGCACGCGCGTGCGACGCACGTGCGGGGTGAGGGAGAGGAGGGCTGAGGGGGGGAGAGAGAGAGATGGGCTGAGAGGAAATCGGCCCACCGAACCTGGGGGAGGCAAAATAGACTTTTGTGGAGGAATTTGATTTGGGAAGGATTTGGATTCGGAATTTGAATTTGACGATAGATCGGGGATTCGAGATCAAGGATTGGCACGGAAACTGACAACAAGCAAAGAAATAGATTTCGCAATTAGGGTTTTTAGAATTTAAATTTTCCCGCTAGGCGCCACGACGGAACGGGCGCTACATTAATACGGAGTTGTCAGAAGGAATAAAATGGTTTCCCATCAGCAAGAAGCAACTTAACAACTAAGTATACAAATTAAAATGAATAGTTTGATCAAGGTGGAAGGAATTTTAGCAACTCTGCAGAAATCATTGTTTGAGTTTTGCAAAATCTAAGTCTTCTATCTAACTTCTGATCACTAAAAAGTTAAGGATGAACGGAACGTCCATTGGTATATTCACAAGTTCACATAATACATTCTGGAAGCGACATGCATAGGATCCAGCCTCTAATTGGTAGAATGAAAGAGGAACCCAGTAGATATATTGCTGAATACGGGGAGACTGAAACTAGTGCAGCACACCAATACAACCGAATATTGTAGAATTATGTCAAAATTCTAGTGTAATTCCTTATATTTGTGGGCAATGTCACAGGTGGGCTGCCAACATGTATGAATTACAAAAGAGTTATTCTATACTTAAGGACTCTGTTTCTTAATTTACATATAAAGTAGAATGAAATGTCACTGTTTAAGGGTTCCTTTGGAAGACAGAAACTATTCAGGAACTTTACATAAAGCAATTCATTTCCCGCATGGATCAGGAAATAAAGTCCCATGTTGCAGTGATCATCTCAACAAAAAAATTCCATAATACCTCGTATTATACCCCCCAAAAGCTACATAAACAGTACTGACACAGCTTTTACTCATATGCATTATATTCTGACATGATATATTTCAGATTTCAAAAGAATGCCCTTCGAATAGGGCTGGTGTGATCCGTACTACTTGGTTTATCATTTACAGAAGAAGTGTTCTCTGTACCTAATACATTGAGCATATACAAAGGAATAAACATATTATCTGGCAGTAAAATATGTACACAATGCAAAATAAATGAGATGAAAAATAAGGAGTTCAATATTACTAAGTAACGGCTACACATATATTACAACAGAATATCAGGTAGTATGCACAATACGATTAGTATAATCATCTGATATAAAAACACAACAAATTAGTGTAATATGTAAAATGCAGCTGTGAAGCTGAATGCTAGAGGAATAGTGAAATCCACACAAAGTTAAGTAGTATACATAGACATTTTCTAGGAGAAAAGAGCACGATATTCTTTGGCTTCTTGGGCCATTTCTTCCATCGTTCTATCTTTTCTTTCAATATCTAGGTCCAATGTCTCATTTTTTGCATTCATCTGTTATGAACAGAGAGATTATTCAGATTTATTTGATGGAGTATCAGATGAAGTGAGAGTTGTTCCAAGCAGCATCACTAACCATGCCTTTATTGTTATCATTGTTCTCAAAATCTTCCTTCCTTCGGGGAACGATGTGAACGTGAACATGTGGAACTGTTTGGCCAGAGTGAGGTCCGTCCTGATAAGTAGCAATATTTATTCAACTTCATGCCCGGCGAAAAATTTATTCAACTTCATATCATACACAATAGAAGATAAAGTTAGTTTTCATTAGTTTTTACAACTTTTCATTAAAAAATGTTACGAACATACTAAATTGTGATCTGAAACCACAATTTTGTGAGCAACATCATACTTGTCATGCTCACACGAATTTAGTTATAACATTTCTTAAATTCAAAGTGAAAGACCTCACAGGTTACAAGATAAATCGAACCTGAATTGTGAATGTGAGCGAAGAAGCCCTGTGGTACTGCTCAACACGTGCACCAATTTCCTTTGCCATGATCCACAAATCACTTGTCTCATCAGGACTAAGATCAGCAAATCGTTTCACAAGACGCTTTGGGCATACAAGAACATGTATAATTTAAGTTAAGGAAAAGGAGGGGGGGGGGCGTTAAAAGTCTTAGGCTATCAAAATTGCAGTGCCACATAGTAATCCATCATAGGACAAAGGCAAAAAGAGCTGAGTTGCCAGTTGTCACCAGGGATTAACTGAAGTAATTAGCACGACCAGAAATTAACACGGTAAAGCAGGTAGTATTAATTGTCTTGAAATAGAAAGCACAAATGCACAATACCCCTTCGGAAGGCAAAAAACAAGTGAGCACTGTGATGTACTCCACTGCCATTTTTCAATGAACCGATACCGTACATTACTTATATAGTTCAGTGCAGAGTCTTTCTTTCTTTCTTTCTTTCTTTCCTTTTTTACTTTTGAAACAGAGGCACATTTCATTGATGAATAGCAAGAGAAGTTTTTTCTCTTTTATAATAATAATAATAATAATAAGGTATGAGAAGTTGAGAGCAGATATTACCGCAATGTGAAGTAGATACTAGAAGGCACTAAATGAGAGAGAAGAGTAAAGCAGCTGTGCAAACACATAATTGGCAGACATAAAGGATATGACCTGCAGGGGCAAGATTGGAATAGCATGATGAACAAACAAAGAGGGAGAGAGCAATCAGGAATGATAGATTTGTTCTGAGGAGAGGAAATAGCTAGGTACCTGGGCGGGTGTGTCGGATGTTGACGATGGCGAAGGAGAGGGGCGAGGTGCGGAACACCTGCCGCTCGTCTATCTCGTGCGGACCAAACCTGTACTTGCTTCCCGCGACCGTATCCATCTTCTATCTCTTCCTGGACGGCGACGGCGATGGAGATGGAAAAGAGGAAGAAGCAGTTGAGTTGCGTTGGGTCAAATGGTCAATGGTTGTGGGACTGTGGGGCCGGGTCAAGTCAAGTCAATGATCTTGATGGGCTCTCCCTCCCACAGTAGAAGCAAAGAAAGCCCATCAGAAATACTACTACTATTCAAATCAGGCCCATTAATTTTGTCACTTTCTCTATCTGATTTCCACTCTGAATTGACCTGGTCACCCTGCGATCTTCTGCTTTGTGAATAATAAGTAGGGCGATGCATGCATGCCAGCTCCCTCACGCTAAGCCAAATCCCAATCCAACGTGCCCTGCACTGTTTGTCTACACCTTCACTTCTATTCGTTCCTAGCTAGTAGCAAATTAAGCTGCATGTCCTTTTCGCCGGCCCATTTCAGCTGCTCTCACTCTCTTGCATTAATAATTAACCCAATCTGCAGACTGCAGTGCAGGCAAAGCTAGGCAACCACGTACGTCCATACGTTGCATCGCCCATCGATCGACCGATTAGCTATCTAATTGGCCCAACTAAATCTTGCTTTGCTAGCTTGTGCTTCCCCTAGCTAACATAAGCTATAGCCTATAGCTTCCTCCCTCCCTCTCAAACTTAGTTAATTACTTCCACCAGCCTCATCAAGCTATAGCTAGCATGAGAAGGATACAGATACACCCCTCTCATGGCGGTGGCGGCGGCACCGGCGGCCGTGCACGTCGTCAGGCGGCAGATCAGCCGGTGGTGTACACGGTGTGGAAGAGGTCCAGCATAGGCTTCCAGGGCACCGATGGCTTCTCCGTCTACGACTCCGCCGGCAAGCTCGCCTTCCGCGTCGACAACTACTCCCGCCGCCGCAAAGCTTTCGCCGGCGACCTGCTGCTCATGGATGGCCACGGCACGCCTCTTCTCTCCCTCAGGCCGCAGGTCGATCACCTTCTCATTCACTTCATTACTTCTTCTCTAGCTCCACTCGTTTATTGCTTTAGCAGCGACCTGTTTACTGATCGATCAGTTTAGTTTGCTAGTTTGGAATCATGTATATATCTTAAGATAGGTTGGGACCTGGGATTAGCGTCTTTAATTCTCTTTCATGCATTTCTCACTTTAATTCTTTCCTACCATAATATATAGACGATGGCCGTGTGCTTACTGCTTCTGCTTTGCTTTCAGTCCAAAAATTTAGGGTACTTAGATAAAGAAATTTCAGGGTACAAGCTAGCTAGCTGCAATATTTATATAATCTATCAAACTACAATATCCATATATACATGCGCATCAAGTTTGCATCTCAACTTAAAGATTCAGTCTTATTATTTGTTGCTTTGATCAAAGCTTTGCTGCTATATTAATCATGCAGCCAAACATGCGTTACCTATTCGAGGTTGGAATCCAACCGTTGGATATACATATGCTTAATCTCCAATGTATAAAATTATAGCTTTGCTTCCTTGTTTCCGTTCTCTGATGATTTGATTAAAAAAAAATCCAATTGTTTGAGTCCTGAAAGTCTCAAACGACAAATTTTACTGTATTCATCTCATATGCGGTCCTAATTAACTCTTAAAAAATCTTTTATGATCAGATATTGACCAGTCAAACCAAAGAAAGAAAATCTATATACTAGTATGTTCCATGCGTCATTCTCTATAATAATTGAAAGATTGTACAGTATTGATAAAAATATTTAATTAATTTAGTCTATCGAGTAGGCCGACATGTCCAAGCAAAATGCAACCAAATCCAAAAACAAGCAAACAAAATGCTTTTATCATAATAACATATTATATATTGTTCTTCAACCTTTATGTGCTTCACATTAGATCTCTCCATTTGCAACTTGCAATTTTCAGTTAAGTGACAAAGAAGTAATAAAAGAAACGATCTGCATGATTCGTTGTCAACTTTTCTTTAGCCGCTATTTTTGAACTAAGCAATGTAAAAACAGATAATCAGCGTAAATTAAAAAGTAATCTTCATCGCTCTAATGTGAAAGATATTGTACTATTGATAAAAATATTTAATTAATTTAGTCTATCGAGTAGGACATGTCCAAGCAAAATGCAACCAAATCCTGAAACAAGCAAACAAAATGCTTCTATCATAATAACATATTATATATTGTTTTTCAACCTTTATGTGCTTCACATTAGATCTCTCCATTTGCAACTTGCAATTTTCAGTTAAGTGACAAAGAAGTAATAAAAGAAACATGATCTGCATGATTCGTTGTCAACTTTTCTTCAGCCGCTATTTTTGAAACTAAGCAATGTAAAAACAGATAATCAGAGTAAATTAAAAAGTAATCTTCATTGCTCTAATGTGACAGATTCTCAGCCTGCACAATCGATGGAACTGTTACAGAGCACAAGAGGAAGAAGGCTTGGACAGCACGAGCTCTCCTTCAGTGTCACAGCAGCAAGTCTTCTCCATGAGGAAGAGCTCAGCTCTTCAGAGCAGCGACGAAGCAGAAGTTTTCATGTCAACAAGAACAAGTGGTGACAGCCAATTACCTGATGCTTCTCCCAGCCCCAGCTTCAGAATCGACGGCTGCTTCTCCATGAGGAGCTGCAAGATCCGTGGCAGCAACGGCGAGGAGGCAGCGCGGATCACGAGGAAGAACGCCGGCGTGATGTCCAGACCGGTCAGCCTCGGCGACGACGTGTTCACCCTCGTCGTCAGGCCAGGCGTCGATGTCGCGGTCGTCATGGCTATGGTCGTTGTCATGGACCGTATCTGCCGGAGGCCCTACACACCAATGGCGTGTTCATCATCTGGAAATTCAGTAGTTCATAGTGGAGAAATCATCAAATCCAAGGAAAAATACCATCTAAACCGCAGTAGTAGTAGTTTGCTGTAAATTTTATATATTGCAGCCGAGATGTAACTAAGGTTGTGCTAAATTTTGTGTATTTGCAACTATTTCACATGAAGAAAATTTGCGAAAAGTTCAGGCTTTATAAAGAGTACGCATAATGTGACCTCAGAGTGCACATTTCTAGCAAGAGAACGACAAGCACTTGCTATTCTGAGTGGATACCTGAGGCACTATATTTTTTGCCGAAAGAACTACTTTTGCATTTGCAGATGAGAATCTCCTGCTGATGGAGATGAAGCATGCATACTACCTATATATGCCAGCGAATATTTGCAACAACGTACTCAACACAACAATAGCCTCTACGCAGCAGAGACAACCAGTGGTTGGTATGCAAGCCAAGCAAACCAGGTCACACGACTACGACAGAAGCTTACTTGGTGTTGATTACCTAGTACACCGGCAACAATCCCAGCCAACAAGTGAGGGGCTCCAGATAGCTTACCGTTACCAAATCCTCAGGTCTGGTGCAACAGTCACATCCCACTTCAGAACACAACCAGCCAAATTGCCAATCAAATTGTTCTTTACCACTTGTCAAAGGTAGCTACAGGCGTATCAAAATTGCAACTTATGGCATATATGCATAATCAATTATTCTGTTCAGTGCATCTTATCATCTCAATGGCCCTCTTAGCAAGCATGATGCAAAGATGAAAATGACCAAAGGTGCTCAAGTCCCAGAAAAAAAAATCAGCAAAAAGAGATTAAGAGCTAACCAGTTACTTTACTTGAGCTATCTTCCAGAATGTATATGCGTAAAGCAAGCACAAGAGTTAACACTGGAGACTAATCAAAATCAGAGCCTCTTATGTTCTAATAACATTAGATTAAATGGGATTGATGGAACAGTCCCTTAACCAAAGAAAAGTTCACAGGAGACAAAAACAAGCAGCAAAAAAGGTAAAAACTACACAATGATACAAAATTAAAGTAGTATTTTCATGGTTCAATCAGATCATTAAAGTTTTCATGATCTTATCAGAAAGGTGCGTCAGAATGATATATAGTTTAGCCAGGACTACGGCCATTGGCCACAAATTGCCAGAATTATTGTATTAATGAGTCAGGTTAACTTTTCCAATGTTGGCTAGATGCATAGACTAACAGTAACAAGGTAATAAAAACAATATATCGCATCCAAGATGGTAGACTTAGGCAAGATTCTGCTAAACCACAAACTTTATGGACAGTCGGCAGAAGGAATAAAAACTTTGACTCAGCACAAAGAGCTAGATAGAAAGTTGAGTTATCCATCCTGTCTAACAAACTGTCAGCTACTATGCCATGTCGAATTTCTGGCTTTTCTCTCAACAAAACATGACAAAAACATAATTTATCACAGCAATCCGCATAAGCATGAGAGAACACACTTTCTAACTAGCATGATCAAAGGACCAAAATACTGTGTCTGAATAACTGAAGAGCAGCGGAAATCTCAAGAAAAGTCAATTTTTCAGCTGAAACTTAATGCAATGTGTTGATAGCATGGATTGCAACTCTATTTGATCCAAAACACCAAAAGAATGATCCTTCTTTCTTTTAAGTAGGCTTTCAAATAGGTACTGAAAGGTAATACAATGTATTTTGTTACTATTTGTAGATTGTGAAACCATAGTATGACCCAGCCAGCTACTGATAATATATGGCTGTGTAATTTCATATGGTACAGGGGCATCTGTCATAAAAATATAAATTTTCCAACAAACAACTACTGCCACACCGTGGCATAACTAGTTTCAAAGATAAAGATTTATAAGAAAGAACACATTTTACAACAAACAAGTATCGTACCAAATTAGATAATTTCATAATATCATTCGAAGACTTGAATTCCCATGATGGATGACAAACAGTTACAAAAATAATTTCTGGAGAAGAGTAACTGCAATTTAGAGATAGTTTACAAGAAATTTATCGCAAAAATTACATCTAAGAGAAGAGACCACGGTACTCATTGGCCTCATGAGCCATTTCTTTCATGGTTCTATCTTTTCTCTCTATGTCCAGATCAAGTTTCTCCTTCAATTCCCTCTCTTTGACATCAATCTATTAGAAAGCAACTGAGTAAGAATTTTGTGGTAAATATTGGGTTCAAGTATTGGATAAAAGGAGGTCGATTGAGGAATATGCCACAAACCGCATCATATATCTCATCATTTTTCTCAAAATCTCCTTTCTTTCTAGGGATGACATGGATGTGGACATGTGGAACAGTTTGACCAGCTTGTGGACCATCCTGTAAGCACTAGAACTAATGAGTAAATAGCTTAATATTACTATTATATTAAAAAAATAATTCAAGACAGACATGCAAAGTTATAGCTAGGGCAAATGATTAAAAAAAAGTTAAGAATACTTGTATGGGAAAATGGTTTTTTTTTATTCCACACACAATAAGATCATCATATTTAGACCCCCAATAAGCAAAACCCATATGGTACTCCTCTTGATGGTATGATTAAGCATTGAAATAATGAAAATACAAATTCCTACTAATTGCAGTGGCATAAATACATAGACCTTACCTGAATAGCAAATGTAAGTGAAGACGCTTTGTGGTACTGTTCAAGCCGTATACCAACTTCCTTTGCGGTAACCCATAAGTCACTAATCTCATTAGAACTTAGATCAGCAAATCGTTTCACTTCACGCTTGGGGCACACTAGAACATTTGTATATTGTTAAGGGAAAACAACATATAAGATATATCATATTCTCAATATACCACAGTATAAATCAAAAGAAGATGGCTAACCAATAAATTTATGTAAGATTTGCTCAACACGGCAGTACAATTGACAGTTATATCAATCTCATGGTAAAGATGACATCCTCTAAGATGATCAATCAAGTAAGATGACATGCGGCAAAATAAACACCTACATCACCTCTTCAGCCAATCCACAAAATTGACCTTAAGCCAGACTTGATATTTGTCAAGTATAGAAGGGTAAACCAACACAATCCTTTCATGAATAAATAAATTCCACAGGCCCATCTATTTACTATTACTTTGAATGCATTGATGAAACTTTACCCAAACACAAGCCAGCAAAAGCAAGCTCATTTTATCGACAATCCCAACGGAACTAGCTAGCAGTATGGCACGTTAAAGAAATCAACTGCAAATATCTCCAAAACAGCAGTTTGCAGAAAAAAAGTAGCAGTCTCTTTTGGTGCAATTGAAGGATATGACCTGCACAATAAGGAATGATATGGTTAAGAAAGAAGAGCAGAATATGAACCAACCAATATATAGCAATATAACAGGAATTAAATGCATGCAGCAACAGCAAGGTCAAAGTTGACGGAATCGCATATGGTATAACGGTGAAATGGTACTGTATTAAGGTGAATCTGTTAGGCAGAAGAAGAGATCAATTGCAGAAAAACACTATTATATGTGAACAGACTAGCTAGTATCTGCGTGTACATTGTGCTTTTCAAGAAAAAAAAACGTGCTTGTTAGCATTTGGCAGTTACAGTATGATTCGCGAACTGGTCATCAAACAAATTAGCAATGGCAAGCTACTTAACCCGTCTCTGTAATTTCCGCTACAAGTTTTGGGACTGTACTGTGGTACTGAACAAGGGGGATTGGAGGCGATTAGAGAGAGTAAATCGATCAAGTGGTAAAACTGAGCAAGGGGGAGTGAGGAGATTATTACCAGGGAGGAGTGGGCGGAGGTTGACCATGGCGTAGGACAGCGGCGTGGAGTGGAACACCTCCCTCGCGTCGATCTTGTACGGCCCGAACTTGTAAGCCGCCTCCATCTCCTGGACCGGCGGCGGCGAGGTAGAGGAGGAGATGGCTCGCGGCAGAAGCAGTGGCCGGCGCCGAAGAAGGGTAGGAGGCGGCGGCGGCGGCGGAGCGAGAGCGAGAGGGAGAAGGGAGAAGGGAGTGGGCGCGCGGCGGAGGTCGGCGGAGAGCACCGGAAGCATCAGCTGCCGTCTCGTCGGCGGACGAATCGACGGAGGAGGAAAGCAATGTAGAGTTGTTATGGGCCTAAAATTAAGGTGGGCCTGCATTTTTACGGCCCATCTGAAGCCCATATTGTTGTCTGGACCGGCCCAAAGCTGAGTGGTGCATGTAACGAATGCTGTGTTCTTCTTAATGGGTTGGAACTCATCTCCCACACAATAAAATGGAACGATTTATTAGCACATAATTAATTAAATATTAAATATTATTTAAAAAATAGATTAATGTGATTTTTTAAAGAAAATTTCCTGTTGAAAATTTATGAAAAAAATATATACAGTCTGAGAAACATGTCCGTGGAAGACGATTGGGTGTGAAGTTGGGAACACAGAGTAAAGAACATAACCTAATACTCCTACTTCAGATCGGCTCACAAAAAAAAAACTTACACCGCGATGAAAATGCAATCATGTCCGGTTGACTTACTGAAAAAGTGAAGTGGATAGGGTGATGATAGTGGATAAACTAAATAATCATTTTGACTTTTGCTCTCAACAAACTAATTAAACTAGAGTATACATATAGGGAGCATAGTGTCCACTGCCTGATCGAATAGGAGTTGTCATGCAAATCCACTTCAAAGTGAAGTGATGATCGATCATGTGCGTACTTTCTAAAGTAGTTTGTCGTTCATATGAACATGATGCATGCACCTGTGACCGAAAAGCTACCTTCACTTTGCAGGCATATATTGGCATTGTTTGGTGACTTGACATTAAACAAGTTGCTGCATGCTCATCAATCTTGACGAGATAAATCAATCTGCAATTGTGTCTGTTTGTTTATCTTGATCACTTGTTCATGCTAGTGCATTCTGCGTAGGTTTTGCAATGATCGCCTGATTATTATTCTATATCTAATGTACTCTCTCTCTCTCTCTCTCTCTCTCTCTCTCTCTCTCTCTCTCTCTCTCTCTCTCTCACTACCTACTTGCACGGGATCAATCGCTGTTTGACTTTGATCAGATAATACTAATGAACTAGTGCAAGATAGTGTTCAGTCAACAGCAGTGGAAATATAGGACTATTTTTAAGACCTTGCATGTTCAAAGGTTTGTAATTTTCCATTAAGCTAGTGTCTGGCCTGTAATATATATGCACTTGTTAGAGCAATCTAGCTAGTGTTATCATGTCATATTCGAAAATCCTTAAATCAGGTTAGATACAACAGAAACAAAAACAAATTCAGAAAGTTGGTAGCACAATACCCACAATTATTTTTTACTACTCCACTTTGTATATGCTTGCTACATCTGTATCCCATTCCCTCCCCCCCCCCCCCCCCCCCCCCCCGGAAACAAACAGGAAGTACTAAAATATGACAGTGTGGCTTCTAGCCTAATTGCACTGTAACCGGAATGATAGGGGTGAACTGTGCAAGCACATGTAGCATATAGTAGAAATATAACCTGACAGTTGTGGAAAAGCTATTGGGACATTATATTGCAGCTTCACTACCACTACTGATCGATCATCACAACCGAAAAAGAAAAGATTTTGCTGGATATTTAACTATATACACTCAGCTAAGCTGGAGTGACCACATGGCCCAGTTTGGATGGTGTGCTTTTGATGGCGTTATTTGTTCCCTCCCAAACCTGCAAAGCTGCATGCATGCCTATTCTGTGTCTTAAGCACCTTGGACAAGCAACTAATTGAGCAGCTAGCACATGAGCAATGAGCAATTGCAACATTCCAAATAAATATCAACCATGAATCAAAGTTGTCCATATGCATGCATGACCTAGAAAATGCCAAGATCTCTGCAGGAGACAGCCCCCGTGCAGTCCAAAATCAATCTAGCTTTAAGCTACAGTTAGAGTTTGGGTTAATTTGTTCGGCAGCGAAATATCATTCGACCATGACATGCATGTGGCGAACCATGCATATGCAGTTTGCAAAAAAGATAGCTACATAGCGTGGATGGAATACTTCAAAAGCATATCAAAACGATACGATATGCATGGTGTTTCAGTACTACAATCTTTCAAGAGGAAAAACAAAGGGCTTGTTTGGTTTGGAGCCAATTTTTGCCCTACCAAAATCTGGATAGTACCAAAACATTGGCAAATTTTGGCACTACCAAATTAGATAGTATTCAATTTGAACTATGGTGGGTAAAATTTGGTAGCAAACCAAACATCCACTTGCTACTATTGAAGTTGCCAAAATTTTGGTAGGGTAGTAAATTGGTATCAAACCAAATAAGCCCAAAAACTTCATGTGGGGGCAGGGAGCTGTAGATGCGTGCCTCTTCACTTCCAGATCAGAAAGCTAATGGTATGTTAGTTTTAGGAGCTAATACACACTGCCATTACATGTGTTATGATAAGGATTTTAAGCCGTTTGCGAAGACAATTTAGGTACTGCTCCCTCTAGGTTAATACTAATACTTATTGCTTTGAGAGAAAAACACGGTCTAAAAAACAACTTCAGTCACTGTTTTTTTATTATAATACATATAGAAAAATTATTAAATATATGATTTTATTGAAGTACATTTTAAGACGAATCTATATATACCTAGTCTTCATATTTATAAGATAAATATTTTAAAAATTATTTATAGTTAAAAAAATTATAATTTGATATCAAACTCATTCAAAACAATAAATATCACTCTTTCCGTCCTAAAATATAAGTACCTAGGATCGAATATGATATTCTATAGTACTATAAATCTGTATTAGGAAATATCCTATCTAGTTTTACTCTTTTTTTTATTTTAGGACATAGGAAGTATCAACGAGAGATGTATGCTTAGCAAAGCACATGACTTGAGTGATCAGACACACATGAACGAAATTGTTAGGTAACTGTCTCCATCTTTGCCTTCAACACAGGCATGCAGCCAGTGTATAGAAGGAGAAGAACTCTGCTTTTGCCCCCCTTGCAGAGGAACAAGCTATCCAGGATATACTATTGTCGAACTCCATTCCAATGTCTACTCACTAGTATATGTTAACTGGATCATATCGAGAAGGCAATTAGTTAACATACTGCCAAGAGTTGCACATGCATACTGCATATATACACATCTTCTGGTTACTTCATGTGTCTGAGTTCTCTGAATTTGCCTAACCCATACAAATCATTGGACTCCGGTTAATTACCTCGAACTCTGTAGCCAACCCACCCCTTGCATCGATCCACGACTGGTATTTATATGATTTAATGTCTAAACATACAAAATGTGTAGTATATATGTTGCATCGATCAAACATGTAATGCATATATATGCCCATAGCAACAGCGACAGATGCTAGCTGACCATAGTATATCTCACACGAACAAATTAGTATGGTATATACGGACAAACATAACCGATTAACGCTAGTGGAAATATAGGCACCAGCAGTTTATAAACAAGAATAAATAATTGTACGCGTTATTTTACCATCTATATTCTCAGGAATAGATTAATAGTATATATAGAATAGTTCTCATTTGCCCACCACACTACTGCAAGTGACTCTGACTACACGATATGTCAATTGTCAATATTCTTCCAAATGCATCCAATAATCTTTAGAGGTTTTCTTTCATCCTTGAGAGGTATATACTCTCATTGTCTGAGAGCTAAAAAATTAAACCATTAAAAAGCAAGTTTATGATTGGCAATACCAAGAATTTTCTTTTATCGTCACCTCATATTGTTCGTTCGGAGGTCAGAGGTGTATAGCTCCAAGGTGAAGGTATATAGCTGTCTTAATTAACACAAATATCTATACACCTAAAAAATGCAAGAAGTTATCAATATATGTTTCCTGATCCTATTTAAACCTGTAAGATTATTTTTTTACTTATTTTTAGAGGTATATTTTAAGTATGAGTATGAGGAGTATAGTTATAAATTAACCTCAAAACTTTGAGGAGAGAAAACCTAAAATTATCAATTACGCGATATATATGGATTTAATTATTTGTAGATGGAGTCATGGAGTATGTTGGTGTTTAATTGAGTTTTAATTATTACAAACTTGAAAAATAGACTAATCTGATATTTTAGAACAACTTTTATATAGAAATTTTTCACACAAAACGTACTGTTTAGTAGTTTGAAAAACGTGCCATGAAAATTCAAAATTACATCCACTGAGTGGAAACTAACAGGACCTATACAGTGCAAAGCAAGTAGGCTATGTTCGATTTAGTTGTTAGAGCAATTATAGCCCTATGGGCTATGGCTTACCGGAGAAGACATGCACTCCATTACTGCATAATTAATATATATAGACATTTAAAATATATTCTTTTAAAAAAATAAGAATAATATGGTAGTCAAGCGAAAAGAACATATATGGCTGGTTGGCTGGCTGGCTAGCTTATTAACCATACGTACTTGTTTCGTGGACAGTATCCATAAGGCTCACATGGTTATTTAAGATGTAGAAATATTCTGATCTAGTAGCTACTTGTGTGAACTATTCAATTGTTCCAAAGTATAGGATGTCCCCGGCCGGCATATCTCCCTGAATCATCTCATCTGAATCAAATTGAATTATTTTGCCAGCATATGCCGGACCAGCTGCTAGCTGATCATGAAGCATTTGTTCTAGATGCACCATGCATCTTCCAAGATTTATTTGTGCGCATCTTAACCAAAGAATTAGGATGAATGTCATTTGTTGCAAGGACTTGGATACATCCGAAACAATAGATACACTTTTTCTCCACCTATAAATCTTGCCGAGCTAACCATATTTTGTAAAAAAAAAAACTGTTAATCACTTGGGAATATCTGTTTTTAGTTTCCAGTACTCTAGCTTCATCCATATCAATTTTCATGTGAAAATACTACCTCACACGTGTGATTTAAGAGAAGAAATCACGTTAATGTCTAATTAACCTTCAGATCGATCCGTTTCAAGATTCGTGCTTCACAACCTTAATTTTGCAGCTCCAGCGAACTCTAATGAGCTAATTGGAGGTGTTCCCTTGCTTAGATAAATATCCTGGATAATTGCAGCTCATCACTAGTGTGGGACAGTTTGGGCCCGCT